CAGTAACAGTTGGATAATAACTATAGTATATATAGCCCTTAATAGGACCCCTAATATAGACTGTTACTGGGTAGGGGCAGTACCCAACCTAAACCCTAAACTCTAAACCCTAAACCCCTAAAGCCTCACAAGGCCTAAACCAAACCCCAAATCCTGACAACCCTAAGCCTGAAGCCTAGCCCCAACACGCTGTGTTCATAACCGGTAAAATCCTAGTTTCCATTTGAGCCATTATAGCGGATTATTTAGGGGACTACCTTAGGGGATATATTTGACATTGGGGGTGGGGGTGTGTTCGCAAAATACTCAAAGCATTGAGAGTGCATCATGCGGTCTTCGAAAGGTTGAGAGGTGTCCCGTCAGGGTTGAAGTGTAACACATCAGATTACCCTGCTTGAGCTAACATGGAACCAGGAGAGGGAACAGAGGCTGCCTCCTGTTCTTTGCTTCGGGTTTGGGGTTTAGGGTTGGGGTAATTATATTCAATCTCAGGTCGGGGGAGGGTAATGTTAGCCTAAACCTTAAACCACGTTATCAATGTTTGCCAACAAAGGTCCCAAACATGTGCGCCGCCAGTCTCAGTCCTATGCCTCAAATCATGAGCCCTAAACCCCAAAATCCGAGCTCATACCTCATGCCCTAAACCCCACGCCTTAGGACCTAAATCGTAGATACTATGTTCCGTTATTCTGATGTACGCCCTTTATAATCCCAAAGCTGCCAAGTTGCAATTTCACAGGCGATGCCGGGTAGGGTGACCATGGATGGTCCCCCACCTGGATCATTATCAAGGGTTCACACACTCGCCCGCAATAAAATGACTTCCACACGATCACTATAGGCTAGGCAGAATATGGATTATTAGGGGATTGGGGAGTTCGTTCTTGGGGCCGAAAGTTTGTAGAGTTTGGCGGTGAGTAAATCAAGAGACCTTGCACGGTGCTAAAATGCATTGCACACTTCGTATTTCGCCTTTGCAACGGAGACACTGTTTTTCTCAAGCTGCTTGCCTAAATCTGATTGTAGTGTATCTGTTTGAGCGCTTAGTGTAGGCATGTAGGATTTGGGGACTAAGGTTCTGGGACGCGAGGAGAACATAAGATATTGGGCAATTCAAGACCGCTGGTGTACAAAATAGAGGGTTGCAATATCGACCCCAGATTACTGCAATCCTCATTATGGGGACCCCAAAAAAGGTTCCCCGCATTTCGCCCCCAGAACCCCATACGGTTTCGGCAGGATGAGCACAACGCCCCGATGGCAGAACAGACACGGTTTCAGACGTGAGGCACAGAAAGCAGCACTCCCAGAATCCCAAGGAGAGAAAAGGCTTCTGTCATTGAAATGGGCGCCATGGTATATCGGGGTTAGATAGGGATATTGGGATAATGGAAAAGAAAATGGATCCAGGGCAACCACCATTTGTCGTCTCCATTTTCCCCAGGCTATCTATCCTCCCCTTGGTATCAACCTAGGCAAGCCTTGCCTCAGAATGCCTAGGAGTCAATGACCCTCCCTTTCAGGCTAAAGGGGTTGCAATCCTGACCTAAGCTGCGCAAGAGGCTTTCAAGCTAGCTGATGGATGCGCTTGAAGACTTCTTCTCCAGTGGAATAGAACGACAGAGAATTTGTGGTGGTAGCTAAAGGAAGATTCTCTCAAGCTCAAGCGCACCAATCCTCATCCCTAAACCCTATCTCGTCAACCCTTGCAAAAGCTGAGTCCACAGCATAAAGAGTTCGTGGAGACTTCGCACGAGAGTTGCGCCTGGGATGTTCCGAGGCATGCTTGAAGGCCCGTGTTACTACTACTACTACTACTACTACTAATACTACTACTACTACTACGACGACTACTACCACTACCACTACCACTACCACTACTACTACTACTGCTACTACTACTACTACTACTACTATTTTCACCAGTACTAACTTTGCTGCTCTTAACTCTGATCAGCGTGAAGCGTCTGGCAACCAAAGGCTCAAGGGCTTCTACAATCATCGAGATGTATCTCGCGAAAGCTAGGGCCCACCTGAGGACTGTCCACTCTACTTTACTTGCGACGATGAGGCAACTACTGTAGGGGCCTAAATAGATACCATTATCTTGAAGTCTAGTTGAGGTATGCTATACTACAGTGAAGGATCCCAGGACCATATTTTGCGTCGCCTATACTAAGTATTAAGCTTGGCAACAAGGACACGAGTGATACTATCCAGACTGGCTAGACAAGACTGGTAGGGTTTAACCTGCCAGAATAAGTTGCGAAAGTTATTCAAACTCAACCTGCTCGTCATGATGCTGCCTGCTACAACCACGACGACAACGATTACTCCTCGCAATAGCAAGCTACAATAACACCCTCTAAGGTCCATGGGCAAGTATAAGCAGGGTTATCATATACCTCAAACCCGGAGTTGGACCAACAGTTCTATCAAGCCCATGAACCACAGACCTCTTGCATCCCTACATGGGATGTGGCCTACATTGTTCCCCCAAATGAGGGATGCTCAAATCCCGGGATCCGTCTTGTAATATGAAACCCATTATAGGGTCCCGTATGATACGACAGTCGGGGAAAATTCCACAGAAGACTAGAACCGCGATGTAATCCATGAAGCCCCACGTATAGCTACCCATGAACCTTCAACCGGAACACATGGAAGTTTCCCTAAATTACTGTTCCCAAAATGGGGGAAATCTATATAGGGCCCCGTATTATACTAGGAACCTAAGTATAGGACCCCGTATTGACAGTAATTTAGGACAATCCCCACATGAAAAAGTACTAGCAGTGTTCAGGCCGAGATTTAGTGCTCACCGCCCGGAAGTCCTAACTAATAATGCGAGGATGTTTGTTACCCCAGCCCCGAAATAAGCACCTAGGTTCCCCAGTAATTAACCCCTTAATGATGAGGGTGCCCCCCAGTACCTTGCCTAGGCACACAATGAATGGCAGATTGCTTTTGTAGGGTCCTTCTTCCACAAGCCCAGCTTGAAACACTCAGACGAAGGCTTTCCGAGAACCATGCATCTTGCTTGAAATCTAAGGAGTGGCATATTAAATAGAAGCATCCATAAACATATATATATATATGTATATATGTAGGTAGATGCATGTTACCTTGTAACGGCCCTCCACCCAGTCAGGTGTTGCTTGAATTGTGTGCAACCCGTAGCCCAGAATGCTGAGCCCCAAGCCTCAAACCCTCATCCCTAAACCCTAACATCCCACGCCGGAAAAAACTACCCTATGCCTGCCCTAAAGCCTAAGCCCCAACTCCATCTGTCGTTGATGCTGCCTTCGAGGGCCATCTGTACGGAAGAAGCCGTGTTGTTCGTCTCCACGGTAGGCGGGCCTGAGCTTCATCTTATTGGGGACTAGTAGGCACTAGGGACTGTATATATATATATATACCTGAACCCCCAAAGTATGTAGAATAATTGCCTTTTGGGCTATATTTAGAGGTTTTGGGCTATGATTTTACTTACTTTTGGGGTCCAGGTATACATACATATAGAGGGTTTAGGACTTAGGCGCTGGGGGTAGTAGGGAATAAGGGAATAGATTTTACGATATGCCCTTTTTCCCTACTGCCCCCCCAATTTGACTATGGGATTCTATTCTACGCCCGGTTACACCCCCTGCCCTACTTAGAACCTACCCCCACCACCCTCATGGTAAATATACCTCCTAATATATACTGTATCTTTTCCTAAACAGGGTTGGGGAGGGGCTTGTTATAAAGGGCGCCTAAACCCTACCCCGAAAGGTTGGAAGAAAGGACCCAACTACTGCCTACAATCTAGGGTTTAGGGATTGGTGCAGCATCCAGGAACCATGGTCAAGCACTCTTTAGGGCCTAGGGCTTAGGGATGTTAGCTCCCTGCCCCCAGCCCCTACTCTCAATGTTCCCGACTTGTCCCCACATCTAACACTTAGGGCGGGGATTCCTAAAATTAAGAAGGGAGCGCACAATTTCCCATCTGTTTAATGTAAGGAATGACACCAGGGCTGGTGCATAAGTGGGGAAGGTAAACTTAATTCCCCCCAACCCCTAAAGTCTTAAGGTTCTCCCCCTACAAACAAGGAAAGCCCGCGACGAAGGACTCCGCGAGGGTGAAGTATTCGCAGGCGAGGTGTTCGCTGGTGACCTTGTCCAGTCAGCCTAGAAAATTCAAACGGGGTCATGGGGTACATTTCACTACACTTGTAGAAGGGTTCTGGTGGAACAGTAGTGCTAAACTTTCAAGCAAAAAGGTAAAACCCTAGAACATGCCTTCTGCAGTAGCAGGAGCGGCTAGAATCGTGGTGGCCTTTTGAGACAAAACCCTAAACCCTAACTCCCAAACTCCAGGACAGACCTAGGTCCTAGGAGACGCCTAGACTGAGCTCAGGGAGACTCCTATAATCCCCTCCCCCTAATAATAAACCCCCCCACCCCCCTAATAATACATANNATTCATTATTAGGGGGGTGGGGGGTGTTTATTATTAGGGGGAGGGGATTACACCTCTTGCAATGCCTTGTTTATCTTCAGGAACCCCCAGAAGAATACCAGTGACGGATCTCTGAATCCCTCACAAGCTCTTCCACGAAGGGGCTTTCTGCGGGGCTGAGAGTTTAAGGCTTGCAGCTTGCGACTTCAAGGGCTTGGCTGAGAATAAGGGACTGGAGGTGGGGGCTTCAGGATTTCATGCTGGACTTTGGATCACAAATCTTCACGATTTGATGAGAGCTCATGTGATATCTGGAATAAGCCTTACGTTTTCAACATCAGAACCGGCCACCAGTCCCGAAAAAGCTGACGACTCCGCCTCAGCCGTTGCGCCGAGGATTTTGATGGCCACCTGCTTCAGGCCCGGCAACTTTTCTGATGAAACTATTTTGACGCTTCAAGTCTTTGCGTGTTACGCAAACTGTTGTGGTGTTCTCTACAAAAGCCAACCCTGATTGCTCCAGGAACCCATGACAAAAAATATGTGTAAAGAACATGGTGTCCCGAGCAAGCGGGTGGTCCCGAGGCTTAGGTGTTGAAACCTTGTACTACAGCCCTCTACCCAAACTTCTTCCCAAAAGAGACCTGAAACCGTACTAATGAGGGCTTCTGTAGAACCTTTCTTGGCAGAACTTTAAGGGTTACTGTTTTTGCCAGGGATTCAGGCACCTACGTCGATGCAGATGTTCATGCTCACCGTATCGTTCAGCTCCATTGAGGTCCAAGCCGGACTACTTTCCACCGATGCCAAGTGAATCGAGTTGTATACCCAAATACAGTCCAACTCCACTGTGACTGCAGTGCTTACTGAGCTTGGCTTCTCGAAAGTATGGCTAGGTGCAATGGAGGGTCAGGGGAGGGTTCACGATTGGGCAGAAATGCCCCCCTTCATAGTACCTTCAGGTACTAGGGGGAGTAATTGTTTTTTCGGGGTGGGAAGGTTGCTTTTCTCTTTTTTATGATTATTACTACCAAAGCCATTATTCAGGGAGCTGATTACTTGCAAAGCTTGCTCAAAGATCTCCCAAGCCCTTCATCGGCCACGGGCCCTGGGCCCAGTCTTCAAGGCCTTCTCCCACGAATACATGCTCATACCAAATTGCGTGGCAAGGAAGGTAGGATGAGTTGGGGAGGGAAATGAGCATGTAGCGAACAAGGACCTCAAGCTTTAACCACATGCGAACATAGGCAGGAGATGATATCTCGTCCCCAAGTCCCCACAACCCTGATATCCCGAGCTAAATGTCAAAAAGCTGGTTGAACCGCGAACCCTAGGCACAGCAGTCGGTACACAAGAGTCCACAATACCAAGCCCCTGAAACCGAACCCACTTGGTCTCACCCTATTTGGAGGCACAGGCTAGTTACAAGAAAATCATATGCCCAGGATTTCTGAACCGAGTATAGTCATGTTAGGGGACCTGAAGGCCTTGTAATTGGCTTTTCAGCAAAGTTAGGATTGGGTTATAGTTACCCTGATCCAAGTAGGACAAGAGTCGATAGACGTTTGTGCTGAATGCCTGCGCACATTGCAATCGGCAAGGAGGACAACCCCTCAACCCTAAACCCCGAAACCCCATTGCCGCATTGTTTTTCTGCCAACCAGTCCTGCATCCGTACAAGTCGATTACTACTGTGGATGGTGCAAATGCTGCATTACCTCGCGTGGATTCTAGTACAACAGATTTCTAGGGCTTTAACAACTGTATAGGTCGGATCAGAGCCCCTTACAATACAAGTAGGAGTTATAGTCGCCCCGTAATAAACCCCTCCTTCAGTACTGACAGTCACTGGGAGCGGTAATGACCCAATGAATACGTCTTGTCCATCAACCGTAGTTGTCATCTGCAAAGCCTGGCTCCTAAACCCTAAACCCTAAGCCTGAGAACCCCTATATGTTTAGGGTTTAGGGTTTAGGACTAAACCCTAAACCGAATGGAAAATTCTGGACTGGGGCATGGGCGCAAACGCAGAGTAATCCTCCTGCTTGGCAGGCCTCTTGGCATATAGGACTTGGCCATTAAGGTACCCATTGGGGTTATATTGGGGTCATATGGGTGGTTGTCAAAATTCTGACCCCTTTTTGGGTACCCTAAATACTAGGGGCCGTATTGTAATAGGGACCCAAAAAGGGACCACAATTTTGACAACCACCCATATAGGGATAATGGAAAA